TTTTGGTTTTTCTCTGGTACCGGGAACCGAACTCACGACCTTGCGCTTGCCAGGCAGGCGCTTTGCCGCTGAGCTAAATCCCCAGCCCCAATAACACTGATCTATATTTGCCTATCAAATTGGCAGTATATTTTTATGGGTTTTTTGTTTGTTTGTTTGTTTGTTTTTCTCTGGTACCGGGAATCGAACTCACAACCTTGCACTTGCCAGGCAGGCTCTGTGCCGCTGAGCTAAATCCCCAGCCGAAGGGAGCCTCCTTTGACCTCCTAAGCCTCACTCTGCCTCTCCACAATCAGCGCGTGGGACAAAAAACTCCCACCCTCAGCGGGATGAGTGCAGGACTGTCAGCCCCTTCCCACACGGGCACGCGCTCTCAGATCACTCTCCCTGGACACATACATACATTTGAAAAGTTCACTATTCCGGAAGACGCCTGCTGACTTCTGTCCATTCGTACACCTCCCGCCTAAAAGAATCTCCGGGTGTGTGACAGGTGGGTTTGGCGGGAAGACAGTACCCGACCCGGGACGGTTCGAGCGCACAAGCGATAATGCCAGGACGAACTGCTCCCGTGCAGCTTTATAGTCCGGGGTGCCAGGGAAGGGGCGAAGAGCCCAGCGCTCAGAGAAGCAGACACACAGCCCACACGCGCCCTCCAGGAGCGGAGTCCTAACAGCGTTAGGGAAGCGGAAGGCCGAGCGCGGCGACGCGCTCCGAAGTACGTCATTTCCCCGCGCCCTGTCCCTGGCGGCTGATTGGCCCGCAGGCAGCGGGGCGGGGCCCTGGTGGGTGAGGCGAGCTGCGGCGCGCGGGCGGTTGGGCGGGCTCCGGCCTCGCGCCCACCTGCTTGGGGCCCACGGGCGGCATGGCCGGGACCCCCGCGCCGGGCAGCAGGAGGTGGAGCGGGCCACCGACGCGCCAGCCTGGCCCGCCGCCCGTCACCGGCCACCCTCCGAGCAAGCGGGCCCGGGGCTTTCCCGCGGCCGTCCCCCTGGACCCCGAAGACCCGTTCGGCGCGCACGGGGAGCTCACGGCCGACGACCTGGAGGAGCTGGACATCCTGGCGTCCCAAGCCCTGAGCCAGTGCCCGCCCGCGCCGCGGGACCTGTCCAGTGAGTGCTGCGGGCCCTGTGCGGGCGGGCGGCGCAGACCCCGCCGGTGCCCCCGCGGGTGGAGGCTCCGGGACCCCGGCCGGCTGTGCCCGGGGTCTGGGGCAGTTGTGTTCCTAAAGGTCCTGCGATTGGAGCGAGAAATGTATCCGGGATGGCAGACCGCCGATTTCAAATCTGTGTGGCCAGATTGGCTTTTTACTTTACGTTTTCAAGTTTAGGCCGCTCGGCTCCTGGTTCTAAGCAGAGATCCTTGTACCGCGACTGCCGCCCCGCGCCAGAACCACCACCCTGCACGGGAGAGGCTTTCTGTGCAGTCCAGGGTACCCCTCAGAACATAAGGGCCTGACAGAGGCAAAAGATGAGAGCTTTGTTTTAATACAGCCAGTAACGTAGCAAGTGCCCAAAGGTTAGGAGCTGCAGCAGATCTATAGGGCAGTGAGCAAAATGCAAAAACCTTTCCTTCGTGGAATTTAACATTCTAGTCGGAGAATGAGTGAAATCTGAAGGTCACCTTGAATCTGTACCTGGCAGGTAAGGCCTCTTAAATGCAACAAGAGCATTACCTGGAAGCCTAGACCTCTAGCATCTCCAGCTTGGAGCCAGCAAAGCAGATACTATTCAACACTCACTGATGACTAGATGGTCTGTGTGACAGTGACTTGCATGACTCTCCATCCAGTAGCACGAAGTGACTCCTTCCCCATCCTTGACTCTTCCGGTATCTAATTCCTTTCTAAATCTTATCATCAACTTTACCTTCCTAGTCCATCTCTAGAATCCATCCTTTTCATGTTTCTACCAACATCCTGAGCTATGTGGCTGTGGCTCCATTCCAGGACAAGTATCTGCTAAATTGGCTCAGCTCCTCTAGTCTTGTCTGCCTACAAGTCGAACTTAATGCTACACCCAGAGTGATCTTTTCAGAACTCCAATCCAGCCGTATCTCACTCAGTATGCATGAACATTCATGTTGAAAGCACTGTAAGAATAGCTTCTCACTACTTCTAGTGTAGAGACCAAATTCTTTTTCTTTCTTTTTTGGTTGAGACTGGGTCTCACTATGTAGTTCAGGGTCGGCTTGAACTCACTGTACTGTGTAGCCCAGGGTGGCCTCAAACTCACAGCAATCCTCCTGCCTCAGCCTCCTAAATGCTGGGATTATAGCTGTGTACATCAAGCTTGGCTTAGAGACCAAATCTTTATTGTAGCCTGCAAAACCTGACAAATAAAGTCCTCTGGCACTTTCTCACTTTCATTCTCTGGGTTCTAGCCACCCTAACCTTCTTTCATTTCTTGAATTTTCCTACATCCTTACAGTACAAGAACTCTGCACATTGCTGTGTTAAATGTTCTTGCTACCCGTTGCCTATTCATCTGGTTTATCCCTGCGTACCCTTCAGCTCTTGGCCCAGTCAAGGCTTTCTTAGGGAAATGTTCCGATCATTGCACTTGGGTTGGGTCACGTTTTTGTAGCTATTCATGTATTTGACCTCTGCAGCTCTTATCACAATTATGATCTCCCCAGAGAGTGACCCCAGGGCCTTTGCACTGAGCTGCATCACCGAACCTTTTTACTTTTTTTTTTTTTCCTTTTTGTCTTTTTGAGACAGGGTCTCACTACACAGTTCAGGCTGGCCTTGAACTCATTTTGTAGCCCAGGATGGCCTGGAACTCACAACGATCCCTCCCCAGTGCTGGGATTATAGGCATGTGTGTACCACCACACCCAGCTCTTTTTACTTTTTATTTGAGACAGGATCTCAGTAAGTTCCCCAGGCTGGGTTCAAACTTAGAATCCTTCTGCTTCATTCTCCTAGAGTGCTGGAGTTAGAGGTGTGTGACACCATGCCTGGTTCACAATTGCATTTATATTTATTTATGTGATTATTTGTTGAATGTCCTGTAAGCTTCCTGAGTTTTAGAATTGTATCCATTTTGTTCACCCTTATATCTTTAGATACTAACACCGTGCCTGGTATATTGTAGGTGCGCAGTACATGTTGTTGAATAATAGTATAGTCCTGGCTAGTGAGATGTCCACAGTACCTTTCAGCCTTTTATTTTTTAAGTGAGGGTCATATTATGTAGTCCAGGCCAGCCTTGAACTTGCTATGTAGCCCAGGCTGTCCTCAAATTTGAGATCCTTCTGCCTCAACCTCCTGAGTGCTGGGATTACAGGTGAGCACAATCGTACCTGGCTCTTTCAGCCTTTAGTTGAAACTTAAAATTGAGTAAGGAGTGAGGAGAGGATTGTAGCATCTGTGATTTCATAAGGATTGTTTATGAGTTTACATCATGTTCTTAGGTTGGAAAATACCAATGATTTCACTAGATCGTTCTCAGCTTTCAAGAGTGATTCACGCTGGGCATGGTGGGACATACCTGTGACCTCAGCAACTCAGGAAGATCACAAGTTCGAGGCCAGGCTGGGCAACCTAGGGAGACCCTGTCCCAAAATAAAATGTAGCTTTTGGTAAACAGGCCCTGGTTTGATCTACAGTAACACATACGAGCACATAATAGTGATTCATTTCTGCATTTTCTGGCAACAGTGAGGAAATCTTGGGTCCTAAAATGTACATGGGAATTGTTTTATACAGCTGTTCATAAGGTCCGCAGATTAGATGGGATGTCAAGTAGTCCTGCAGGGAAGAACAGAGAACATGCTCCAGCTAAAGATAACTTCGAACTGGAAGTACTTCAAACACAATACAAAGAACTTAAGGAAAAGGTAAGTAGCCTCACTCCTGGGGTTTCTGTTGCTGCTGTTTGTGTTTGACGCTGAGGGTTGAAAGGGCCTTGTGTGTGCTAAGCACGTGTTTACCACTGAGCTGCACTCCCTGATTTAGCTATTAGACATTGTACAGTAAAGTATATCAGAGTTTTAAAATTAAACATCTCGGTTTTGTTCCTGTGAAATGAGAGGTTAGAGAAAGAAAGCCAGAAAATATAGACTAAAAGAAAAAATGTGAGATTCCTAACAGCAAGACAAGAAATACTGTACACCAGATCCCAGGGGAAAAATAAAAACTGTTAAAGCACTGAGATGAGTTTACAGCGTATATCTCTATATGAAGAACAGTTAGTTTACAGCGTATATTGCTATATGAAGATACAGCATATATCTCTATAACAGTTGCTATTTTATTAGCAGCTTTAGTATGACTGCAGTGGGAAGCAGAAACACCAAAACAGCACCCAGGATTTGGAGGCAGGTTTATTTAGGTCGACAGGCACTAATCAGGATCATTCCCAGAATATCAGACCCCGATCTCTGGTGGTCCAGGGCTTTTATATGCTGCACAGGCAGGAGGTCCGAAGGTGAGCCTTAACAGCCTGGCAGTTCTTCTGATTGGCTAGCAGGATGAGGTCATCAGTTACCAGGGTAGATCAGTGGTCATCAGTTCATGAAGCGTGGTACAATGGTACAGTCAGGCATCCTGTGTGTTCGGTTACACTCTGTGGTCACAGGGGTCAAGAGAGTAATTACAAAGCCATGAAGCAGTTACAGAGCTCGGCAGCTTCAAAAGAGCAAAGTTTTTAAAAGAATAACTTCTCTTGTACAATTTTTCCCTTTCATGACCATATGTCAGTCCCTAAGAAAACCAGGGACAAAATATGGAATTCCAGTTCCCTGGGGTGTGACCAGGGTTGTTAAATGCCTTTTAAAGCCTAAAGAATCCACATGTGACCCAAAAGTGGAAGGAAGACTATTAGGGAGGAGGACGGGGACTGTGGAGTGGGGTAGAGGGAGAGTGATCAGAGTTCAGATCCGCACGTACGAGGTGAAACCTCATCAGTATAAACGGTGTGCCCTGCAGACAGTCTGCATGAGTGACAAGTATGTCCCCAACCTGTGCTTACTGACTGTCCTTTAATTTGGGGTCTACAGCTGAAGGCGATGGAAGAAGAGATCCTTATTAAGAATGGAGAAATTAAAATCTTGCGGGACTCACTGCATCAGTCAGAGTCCATTCTGGAGGAACAGAAAAGATCGCATTTCCTTCTTGAGCAAGAGAAAACCCAAGCACTCAGTGACAAAGAAAAGGAGTTCTCCAGAAAGGTGACTCGGAGCACTTACTTTGTGTATGATGGGCAGCAGCTTTGTCTGCTTCCTGACTTACTTCCTTCCTTCCTTCACTTATTTTAGTACTGAAGATTGAACCCAGAGCTTTCACACCAAGCTACATCCCCAGCACATTTTTCATTTTGAGACAGAGTCTTGCTGAGTTACCCAGGCTGGACTCCAAACTTGAGATCCTCCTGCCTCAGCCTCCCAGAGTGCTAGGATTAGTCATGTGCCATCACATCTAGCTACTGATTGCTTTTAGAATGAGTGACACAGTGTTGGCTGTAAATCTTCCGGGGAGTTCTCAGCAGCTGTTCGTCTTAAATACTTTCTGCTCTTAGTAAATTGTCACACTTTTCTTCCAGAGTCTGCATGTGGTTTGGAAAAGGAATTAGATGAAACACTGCATCACTGTAGTCGCTAGTACTGGCAAGGGTAAATCACTAGAAACAGGCTTAAATTCAGCTGCTTTACTTTTTTATTTTTTTAATTCTTCTGTCTTTTGGGGACAGCGTCTTGCAAATTCGGGCCCTTTTGGTAGTTGCAGAACTTAGTTGACCTGGATTAGGCCAAAAGGAAACACAGTGACAGTCTAGGGACATGGGCGTGTGTGAGGGCCCTGGTGACTTAGACCTGACCGGGACACATTGATTTCCTGTGCTATAGGCAGGGTCTGTCCCTGTGGGTTTGGATGGATCTCCCCCAGGAGAAGTTCCTGGACTCATATTCATAACTCCAAAGCACAGGTAAGACTTGGCTTCCTGTCTCAAGTTTGAACGTCTGAGGAAGGCACTGATTGGTCTGCTGTGAGTGAGGTGTCTGTCCCTGGACTAGCTGCTGTCCAATGAGAGCCCGCATTTGAATCCCATGTTCAGAGGTAGGGAAGTGATTGTTTCTCAGGGAAAGGGAAATCCTGTTCTAGGAAGAAAAACAGTGAGTATCTAGTACATACCACCACTTCCCTCAGTACCTCCTGCGGGGGTGTGTGTGAGAGAGAGAGAGAGAAGAGAGAGGTTGGAGACTGAAGCCAGGCCGCACACATGTTGGCACACACTTCCACTGAGCTACGTCCCCAGCCAAACTTCACAAACTTTACATGTTCTGTGCACTTACCTGTGCCCAGCACTAACTCTAGCCGTTGACTGTCCATATGAATGGTGAAGAGCTGGGTACGGGGGTGCATACCTGTAATCGCAGGGCTGGGGAGGCTGAGGCAGGACCACCACACGTGCAAGGCCAGCCTGGACTACCTAGCGATTTTGAGGCAGCCTGAACTATAGTGCAGCACCCTGTTTCAGAAAACCAAAAGAAAAGCCGGCGTGACACACTTGTAACCCTCAGCCTTCCTCAGAGGGGGGAGGGTTGCCACGATGGCAATGCCAGCCTGGGCTGGCTGGTCAGACCCTGGTTCAAACAACAAACAAAGCCCGGCATCATGGCGCACGCCTGTATTCCCAGCACTCGGGCGGCGGAGGCAGGTTACAAGATGGGTTCGGGTCCAGCCTGAACTGCATAGCAAAACCCTGTCTCAAAACGCAAAAAATAAAAAATGAAAGAAAGGATGAACGATGAAGGAAGAACAAGGAATTTGCACTTATCCAAACCAGAGTTTGAGTCCAGGCTTCAGGGGGGACCAAGGGATAATGACTGAAGCAGCGTGACTGACTTCGCCCAGCCGTCCCAGAGAATGACAGAAAGGCTGTGAGGAGGCCCAGACCGTCCTGCGTTCACTGTGCCAGGTGCTGCGTCTGGTACAGTGATGGCAGTTACCGGCCAGCTGCAGAGCCTGGGACCCAGAACGGCAGGCCTTCCTGTATGTGCACAAGGCTTTGGTGATCGTCAAATGCTCTGCCCAAGCTTTCAAGAAGACCTAGAATTGTGCACCACTACACTGATTAAAAGATCAACAACCAGGCATCGTAGTGCACACCTGTAGTCCCAGCTACTCAGTGGGCTGAGGCAGGAGAGCTAAGGCACAAATTCAGGATCAGCCTGGGCTACATGGTGAGACTCTATCTCAAAAAAAGAGAAAAGAAGTTACTATTGAGATTTGGCAGT